TTATTGATTTTCTGTGTTATATATATTACGATGTTCATTTAAAGAAGTTCACTTCGTCGCTTGCGCAAAACAATGATTAAAATCTGAGTCTCTCTAAAGGAATTAAATCTCTGAATCATAGATTTCGTGCTCCGATTCTCTAACACAGAGCTGCAAGGAGTACGGTGCCGATCGAGGCCATAAGGAGGTTGACAAACGTCCTTCGCACTGTAAGGATCAACAACATTGAAAGTGTCGAGTGAGCAAATTGATTAAGAAAGATGGTTAGTTTGCGGTTCTCCCATCATATAAAGCAGATGTTATTCGAATTTTCACAAGCGCGGGAGAGAGAAGAAGATCAATTCGCTGAGAAACAAACCTGTGTCGAACCTTTTTTCTGCAGAAAGTAAAGAAAACAGAATAAGTACTTTGACAAATTTAACATTGATGGATCGGTACGAGCCAGAAAAATGATAAAAGTCACGGTAAACCATCCAAATTAGGTACGCAAAGGAAATAGCTAAAACACTTATCAAGATCAGCCCTCCCTAATCGTAGTTGGCTCCGGAATAATCAAGAAGTGCTTATCTGATCTTTCTGACCTCGTGAAGCAACAAGTGGTTTTAACGTTAATTTTTTTTTTTTCTACTTCACACTCGAAAATTTCTATTATCTTTATTTATGAAAAAATTATTGTATCCAGGAAAAGTGAAGTAACATGCAAAGAAAGTCAAAAATTTCTAAAAGAACGCAAATATGTCTTACGGCTAAAGAATTATGAAACAAATGGATGCATTTACACTCCTTTATGAGTGTAAATTTTTTTTCATGCGAGGTTATAAAAATAAATGGCATTTGGTATGTTTTCATAAGCCTTGAATTGTGTTGTTCCACAACTGGAATCATTATCACCAACATCTACAATTCCGCACTAGTACACGAAAAACCAATTTCGCCCATCTGACCGTGGCGTTAATCACACTTAAAACAATGCCTTAAACATTAATTCAAGAGGACAATGAGGGCAATCATATATTAAGCCCGTTTTGCAAAAAAAAATTCATTGAAGCTTAGCACGGGTATAAGTTTTTTTTTTGTCTGGTTTTTTTTTTTTTACACTTCTAATTCACATGGATCAGTATCCATCTGCACTCAAATTTTCTTATTAGCAGCTTTGTTTCTCTTCATGTTTAGTGATGTTTCTCTTATTTTACTACTCTCTGTGCAATACATACCACATTCCTCATTTCCAAGGTACTTTAGTCGAAAAGCAAGCTATTAGTCGTCACGGAAAGGGGATTTTCTAGTAATGGTAAAGAAAACAGAAATTAACAGTTCTACATTTGATAGACATGAGGCAGTAATGTGATAATGGTCTGCAAAGGAAATAAACCTTTGCCACCAAAGGGAAGATGGTACATTATCAACCACACTGATCGCATTATCGTAATCGAATATTAAATTTCTTAGTCTTTTGTAATTAACCTCGCACAGCAACAAGAAGTTTAGGTTTTTAAGGAAGATTCTTGAAAATATTTAAGGTGAACAGTTTTGTTTGTTGCGACATCATAACTACTCCGATGGAAATTGAACTGACATGGAGATTGATTAACATGCAATAGAACGTTTTCAGATTAAACGGCAGATGTGTTTACACTTCTTTGTTTCTCTACAAGACCACAATACGTTTTAAGGAAGGAGGTTTTCGGAAGTAATGCACCGCCTCTGCCATTAATTGTATAATAGGGCAGGATGTAAATACATTTTTTTGGTGATATCCCGTGGATGGAGATCATATAAACGGAGCAAACGATTCCCAATTCATTCAATCATTAGTTTGGTCTAAACACAAGCAATAGCACTGGTCGTTAGAAGTAGCTGTAGCATGAAAACTTCAACCAGGGTTTGGATTCTATGTTGCTTTTTAATTTTGTCTTCTTCTGTCCAGTTTTCAAGCGCATTTTTCTCCAACAAAGTTGGTAAAAGGACTTTTAAGGTAGGTATTAAATAATATATATTTTATCTCAGAGAAATTGTGGGATGATTGACAACGTTTAGTAACGATAAAATAAACTCAATTGAAACGTGTCTTAAATTTTGAGGCATCACCCTTACTTAAGGGAAAATAAATTTACTTTATGAACAACTTTTTTTTCTTTTTACTTAACCCGTTCTTCACTGTTTCACTGACCACTGTTACCTCCATCGCAGTTACATTAAATAAGCTGATAAATTTCAGTATAGTTTTAAGCAATACCTAGACTTCGTGAGAACACTTCTCATTAAACACCCTCTTTGGTTCAATCCTTATAGTATGACAGAGATATTCAACCAATCTGCCAGTTCGCCTCCGAATATTGTGGTGTCTTGAGACCTGAGCTGCAGTCACGTGACACAACTGGTGATGCGAGGCCGAAGCAAAGGGACATTATCCATGAATGAAAATAGCTAAATCAACGCCGCCCACGCCGCCATCGAATAAAATTGTAGATGTTACTTTTGTAAATCATCGTTAAAGGAAGATATTAAGTTTGTTTAATTTAATGACGGAATAAAAAGCTGGTTCATGATTGCAAATCATTTTGGAGGTTTTATTTATCACGATTAGGAGTAAGCAAATCTATTGGGCCACTGACTTAACGATGAATTTTAAGGTAGTGCAACGGTGCGGCATGTTGATTACTTGCCTTAACGGCTCGTAATTTACAAGGGTTTTGTAACTGACGAGGATTTCCCGTGTTCTCCTCCGCATCCTCTTCCCTCTATATAAATTCTCCAAGCCTTAGTCTCCTCTCTTTGCAGCATTAGACTTACATTCACTCCCAGTCTATTGAATAACACCTTTTCGCTCGGACACGCTTGGTTCTGTGCTCAACCTATCTTTGTCACTACTTTAGAAGACGCGTGAGCAGACCGTCATGAACATGAGATTAGAATGCAGCCCACGTCCAAAGGGATCGGTTTTCCTAGCCAATCAGAGACCGCTTAC